ACAGCGCAGAAGTTAGGCCTGCAAATTTGCACGGGCACCCCTGTCGAACCCCACGTTGCAGATCCGATCACTACGGCGGCGACCCGCGGCCAAAGACGGAGATCTCGCCGTGCGCCCTAAACACCGACGACACAGGATACTGATCCATTGCAGTTGGGTTCATCTCGATCTCCTGACGCGGCCGCCGTGTACTTCTTGGTGTGAGGTACGCATGTCAGGGTGACTTGATTTTCTCCCGATGCCCGAGCGATCTGGAGCTAAGGTGTCTCACCTAGGGACTACCGGGTAGCTAGCTCGCCACAACTCACAACACGCAAACACACACATGCAGAAATAGAATTGGTGTGGATGGCCATGTGCAGAGTTGACCAGATCAATAGACCGTATTCTCTTATAGCTTTGCCTAACTAGTATAGAAAATTATTAATTTATTAAAAGGTGAGCAGCCAGATTTTGATTGGCTGGTGGCGTATGAGATGTGGCCAAAATATGGATTTCATATACTGTACATGAGTGATTCTCGTTTCAGAGGCTAATTCTGTATCTGTTTGTGGCTTTGTGCAGCAATGCAATCTACCAATAGCTTGCAAATGCAGGTGGAGGAGGAAAGATTTACCACACCTGTAAAGAAAGCAAGTGTTCCTCTCCCCGTGAATGGGGGAGAACTGAAAGAGAAGAACGAAGAAGCCAAGGCCAAGGTCGCATGCTCGTGCAAGACGTGCAACCAAGTAGGGTTTCATATAGTCGCAATTGTCCAAAGAAAAAGGGTCAAGGAAAAGAAGTCATGAATGTGCATGACATGCACACAGAATTACAGATTGTGCATCATGAAAGCTACACCTCTTGCAAGAAAAATAAATGCTTTATCAATAGTATTGTTTTATTCGATGTATAAAATTTCTTTGTGTAATGGATCAAATAATTATTTTGTCCAACCATTTGACTTAGTGGTGGGCAGATTCAATGAATTGCAGTTTTTCTATCAGGTTATGAAGCTTGCAGTAACAACATGTCTTTGTACGACTTAGTAAATTGACATGAATCATTGATTTTAGCTTAGTTTTCAGCATGTTTCAGTTCTTACTCCTGCTACCCGAGTCTTGATCGCCACTGCATTTGTGA